TAAAATGTTTAAACTGCAGAGGGAATCAGAGCATACACAAAACAAGCATCAATTATCTTTTAACGACCAGTTTCCCAGGTGAACAATATTTCATATAATTAGTCGTTTGCTCTAATTGGACTGGTGAAGGCCTATAAAATACACTTACCTTCAGTTGCATGTATGTTTGGATTTGTTGATTTTGTGTGGTGGTTTGAGAACGTGAACATTGGGTTTTTGGTGTACTTGTGGTTTTTTTTGTCATGGATCAAAGGTGGAAAAGGTGAGTTTGTTCATTCAATCTGGGTTTGTGTATGACTCTGAATACATTTGGTAATGTTTATTTTTTTTATTTGTAGATTATCCTTGCTAGTAATCATCTTGGTATTTTGGAGGAATGCTGATGGATTTAAAGGTGTGTTTGTGCCCCTCCCTTTATTTCAAGGATAAAGGGGACTTGTGTACAAAAGTCTTCTGGTTTGTTTAATTCTACAGGTGGAGTTTCTTCCAGTGCCCATCATGGGTGGGGTCAGCCTTCTGATGCTTTCTCACCTCGTGCAGTCCAGTCTTCTATGTCAGAGGTCCGTTTAACTGGGTTTTTGCCTGTTGAAGAAGTGGGCTCCAGTTTGTTCCCTAACAAACCCCTGAAAAGCAAGTCTAAGTTGAATCTACTTCAGTTTGTCAAAGGTGGTTCCAGCAGCTATCAGTCAACGTCCCATGCCCAAACTACTCCAAGCAGCTCTGTCTCAGCGTCCTTGCCTCTGTCCCTGAATCAACAGCCTTCATGCAGTTTGGCATCCTCTGGATCAACCATTCCAGGTGTTGCTGGTGGATTAAGTTTGGAGACCCAATATGCTGCAAGTGGTTTAGGACAAGTTGTTTCTACCCTAGGAGAGAGTAGTAGCTATCCTGCTAAGCTTGGTGTTTCTGGCCAATCCACCAGTGATACTTTGCATGTGTCCAGCTCCCAGGAAACTGCTGTTCAACTGGCAGAAACCTCTTTGCCGGTGTTCTCGAAGAAAGTCTCTTACAGCAGTTCATCTGCTCCAGGTGTCACTTCCACTTCTCGGAGTAGCCCTGCACTACTTTCACAAAGCTTGGGTCAACCTGTATCTTCTCAGGGTGAAGTTGGTTACAGTGGTTTGTCTCAAGGTGCCTCTAATCAGTATACCCCAGACTCCAATACCATGCTAGGTTCAACTTCTAGCCAGCCCAGTGGTGACCAGAGCTCCCCCAGTGTGTTTGGCTCAAGCTCTCAGGGTAGTTCTGAGACCTTTTTAGCTTCTGGTTTTTCTCTTCTAGAGGAAGTGGCAGGGCTTAGACCTCTTGACTTGTCTTCCAAATCTCCAGAGACGTCCAGTCAGTTTCAGCCCTTGGTGGTATCTAGCCAGTCCACAAGTGTTCAGAGTTCACCTAGTGTGTCTACGTTAAGCACCCAGAGCAGGTCTGGCCCTCAGTTAGTAACGTCCAGTCATTTTATCCCTGTGCAAGGAGGTAGTAGCTCTGTTAGTTTATATCTCAAGCCTCCGGGCACTCTGGGTCGGTATGCTCCTGCGTTCCCTGCCAAATATACAAGCACTCCCGTGTCTGCACCCCAAGCTACCACAAATAGCGGGTCTTCCTATAGAGCTGTTTCACAGGTTGGTTCTCCGTCTCAAATGGGAGCTTCTGGTCAGTTTACATCTCTGGGTGGGAACTATTACAGGGGGTTGCTTCCACAGTCTCGAGCTACTTCTAGTCAATATGCTCTTGGCTACTCCAAGCCCATTTCCTCACCCCAAAGCACTTCCAGTCAGTCCACCAGTGCCTTGAGTTCTTAATTCTACAGGTGGAGTTTCTTCCAGTGCCCATCATGGGTGGGGTCAGCCTTCTGATGCTTTCTCACCTCGTGCAGTCCAGTCTTCTATGTCAGAGGTCCGTTTAACTGGGTTTTTGCCTGTTGAAGAAGTGGGCTCCAGTTTGTTCCCTAACAAACCCCTGAAAAGCAAGTCTAAGTTGAATCTACTTCAGTTTGTCAAAGGTGGTTCCAGCAGCTATCAGTCAACATCCCATGCCCAAACTGCTCCAAGCAGCTCTGTCTCAGCTTCCTTGCCTCTGTCCCTGAATCAACAGCCTTCATGCAGTTTGGCATCCTCTGGATCAACCATTCCAGGTGTTGCTGGTGGATTAAGTTTGGAGACCCAATATGCTGCAAGTGGTTTAGGACAAGTTGTTTCTACCTTAGGAGAGCGTATTAGCTATCCTGCTAAGCTTGGTGTTTCTGGCCAATCCACCAGTGACACTTTGCATGTGTCCAGCTCCCAGGAAACTGCTGTTCAACTGGCAGAAACCTCTTTGCCGGTGTTCTCGAAGAAAGTCTCCTACAGCAGTTCATCTGCTCCAGGTGCCACTTCCACTTCTCGGAGTAGCCCTGCACTACTTTCAGAAAGCTTGGGTCAACCTGTATCTTCTCAGGGTGAAGTTGGTTACAGTGGTTTGTCTCAAGGTGCCTCTAATCAGTATACCCCAGACTCCAATACCATGCTAGGTTCCACTTCTAGCCAGCCCAGTGGTGACCAGAGCTCCCCCAGTGTGTTTGGCTCAAGCTCTCAGGGTAGTTCTGAGACCTTTTTAGCTTCTGGTTTTTCTCTTCTAGAGGAAGTGGCAGGGCTTAGACCTCTTGACTTGTCTTCCAAATCTCCAGAGACGTCCAGTCAATTTCAGCCCTTGGCGGTATCTAGCCAGTCCACAAGTGTTCAGAGTTCACCTAGTGTGTCTACGTCAAGCACCCAGAGTAGGTCTGGCCCTCAGTTAGTAACGTCCAGTCATTTTATCCCTGTGCAAGGAGGTAGTAGCTCTGTTAGTTTATATCTCAAGCCTCCGGGCACTCTGGGTCGGTATGCTCCTGCGTTCCCTGCCAAATATACAAGCACTCCCGTGTCTGCACCCCAAGCTACCACAAATAGCGGGTCTTCCTATAGAGCTGTTTCACAGGTTGGTTCTCCGTCTCAAATGGGAGCTTCTGGTCAGTTTACATCTCTGGGTGGGAACTATTACAGGGGGTTGCTTCCACAGTCTCGAGCTACTTCTAGTCAATATGCTCTTGGCTACTCCAAGCCCATTTCCTCACCCCAAAGCACTTCCAGTCAGTCCACCAGTGCCTTGAGTTCACGTAAACAATATAGCTCTGGGGCTCAGTTTGGGGGCTCTACAGGTTTTGCCTCGCAGGGAATGAGCAGCTCTTACAGTGGTTCTGTCCAGTCTCAAGGTACCACAAGTCAGTTTGCTCCTGGGTCTTCCCCCTATGCAAGTGTATCACTGTCCTCACCCCAAGCTGGTCCGTCTACTACTGTTCGGGGTTCTCTGAAGCAGTTTACCTCCACCTACACGGGCAGCTCTGGCACCCAGGCAGGGTCCGCCACTCGCTTCACCCTGCACGGAAGCACTGCTTATGTTGGATCACATCAGCCTCAAGATGCTGCTAGTCAGTTTGTCCCTGGGTCTTCATTCCCATATGCAAGTGTGTCATTCTTACCCCATTTTAATATTTGTATAGATTGCAGTCCCTTCCAGAGTGTGAAATTAGCTGTTTTAAACTGAATTGAATGTTTTCTATTTTGTATTTAATAAATCCATTGATTTGAAATCCCTTTGACTACTGTACACTTTTGACAATACAGACATTAGTTATGTGGTGACTGCATCCATTTCAGATGTATAATAACTGTTTTTCCCAAAGACTTGCTGGGTTTTTCTCATTAAGGTATTTCTTCAGATCTTTCATAAACCATGGCTTGTTATTTGAAAAGATTTTAACCTCTTTAGTATCAATAACAGTCTCTTCACAGAATTGAATAAAATAAGTGATACAGTCTGATAATTCATGAGGGTCTCTGCATGAATCAAAGAAAACATCCCAGTTTGTAGTGCAAAAACAATCCTGTAACATGTTCCTTGCTCCAAACCTGGATTTTCTTTTTCCACTGGTTTCTCATTTCTAACACGTTGTCTGTATTTTGGCAGTAAATGGATCACCTTATGAACCAATCTGCCAATGGGTGCTCTACATATTGCCCTATATGCATCCTCAATGTTACCATAACACAGATCTAATGTGCGTGAGAAAATGATCTGCTGACTTTATCAGGTTCCTATTAAAGCACTCTGCAATGTGCTCTGCTGCCTCGCCATTATTAGGTGATACAAAATGTTTACATATACAGCTAAATGTGTCTCTGTGTGGATGGGGCCTCAGACAATAACAAACGGTAAAGGATTGTTTTTAATCTCCACATAATTTAGCATAACTCTGTCAAATCCATGCCACATATTTGAAAAAGAAAGTACTGAGCAAAAAAAGTAAAAAAATAAATTAATTAATAAAATAAAAAATTAACAAAATAGACAAAAAGGTATAATTAATTGCAAACTGATTTTAATATCAAAATTAGCTTGATAAAAGTAATATAATTAGCACGTAATCCAATTAACACATTTTTATATAATATGATGTGGTATATTTTGAATAAGGTGTATGAGGATATCTTACACTGTGAAAGTAATGTTCTGGGATTAATTAGCTGCTTTATAATGTTTAAACTGCAGAGGGTATCAGAGCCTTCACAAAACACGCATCAATTATCTTTTAACGACCAGTTTCCCAGGTGAACAATATTTCATATAATTAGTCGTTTGCTCTAATTGGACTGGTGAAGGCCTATAAAATACACTTACCTCCAGTTGCATGTATGCTTGTATTTGTTGATTTTGTGTGGTGGTTTGAGAACATGAACATTGGGTTTTTGGAGTACTTGTGGTTTTTTTCTCATGGATCAAAGGTGAGTTTGTTCATTCAATCTGTGTTTGTGAATGACTGTGCACACATTTGCTAGAGTTTTTTTTTTTTTTTTTAATTAATTTATTTTTTTTATTTATTTTGTAGGTTACCCTTGATTAAAAACATTGTACACATTTTTCACAGAACCAAATTTTTGTCATGGATCAAAGGTGGAAAAGGTGAGTTTGTTCATTCAATCTGTGTTTGTGAATGACTGTGTACACATTTGCTAGAGTTTATTTTTATTTTGTTTATTTTGTAGGTTACCCTTGCTAGTAATCATCTTGTTGTTTTGGAGGAATGCTGATGGATTTAAAGGTGAGTATGTGCCCCTCCCTTTATTTCAAGGATAAAAGGGACTGGTGTACAAAAGTCTTCTGTTTTGTTTAATTCTATAGGTGGAGCTTATTCCAGTGCCCATCATGGGTGGGGTCAGCCTTCTGATGCTTTCTCACCTCGTGCAGTCCAGTCTTCTATGTCAGAGATCAATTTGACTGGGATTTTGCCTGTTGAAGAAGTGGGCTCCAGTTTGTTCCCTAACAACCCCCTGAAAAGCAAGTCTAAGTTGAATCTACTTCAGTTTGTCAAAGGTGGTTCCAGCAGCTATCAGTCAACATCCCATGCCCAAACTGCTCCAAGCAGCTCTGTCTCAGCTTCCTTGACTCTGTCCCTGAATCAACAGCCTTCAAGCAGTTTGGCATCCTCTGGATCAACCATTCCAGGTGTTGCTGGTGGATTAAGTTTGGAGACCCAATATGCTGCAAGTGGTTTAGGACAAGTTGTTTCTACCTTAGGAGAGCGTATTAGCTATCCTGCTAAGCTTGGTGTTTCTGGCCAATCCACCAGTGATACTTTGCATGTGTCCAGCTCCCAGGAAACTGCTGTTCAACTGGCAGAAACCTCTTTGCCTGTGTTCTCTAAAAAAAAGTGTCTTACAGCAGTTCATCTGCTCCAGGTGCCACTTCCACTTCTCGGAGTAGCCCTGCACTACTTTCAGAAAGCTTGGTTCAACCTGTATCTTCTCAGGGTGAAGTTGGTTACAGTGGTTTGTCTCAAGGTGCCTCTAATCCGTATACCCCAGACCCAATACCATGCTTGGTTCTCCCATTTCTAGCCAGTCCAGTGGTGACCAGAGCTCCCCCAGTCTGTTTGGCTCAAGCTCTCGGGGTAGTTCTGATGCCTTTTTAGCTTCTGGTTTTTCTCTTCTAGAGGAAGTGGCAGGGCTTCGTCCTCTTGACCTGTCTTCCAAATATCCAGGGACGTCCAGTCAGTTTCAGCCCTTGGTGGTACCTAGCCAGTCTACTAATGGTCAAAGCTCCCCTAGTCTACATATGGTTAGCCCTCAGAGCAGTTCAAAGTCAACATTTGCTGCTACACCTCTATTCACTCGAGGCAGAGTCCATTACAATAGCTTATCTAGCAAGGCTCAAGGCTCTACCACTTATCAGGGCAGCTCTGGAGCTGAATTGTCTGCAAGTTCTGTCCAATCTATCCCCACACGAGTAGGGAGTTACAGTGGTGTCCCAGTCTCTCAGTGCCCCTAGTCTGTATACTCCAGGATCCCTGGTGGCTAACAAGCAAGCTTCTTTACCCCTGGGGGTTTCTAGCCAGTCCACAAGTGTTCCGCGTTCACCTAGTGTGTCTACGTCAAGCACCCAGAGCAGGTCTGGCACTCGGTTAGCAACTTCCAGTCATTTTATCCCTGTGCAAGGAGGTAGTAGCTCTGTTAGTTTCTCTCAAGCCTCAGGTCACTCTAGGTCAGTATGCTCCCACGTCCCCTACCAAATATGTAAGTGCTCCCATGTCTGTACCCCAAGCTACCACAAATAGTGGGTCTTCCTATAGAGCAGTTTCACAGGTTGGTTCTCCGTCTCAAATGGGAGCTTCTGGTCAGTTTACATCTCCGGGAGGGAACTATTACAGGGGGTTGTTTCCACAGTCTCAAGCTACCTCTAGTCAATATGCTCTCCAGTGGTTCTGTCCCGTCTCAAGGTACCACTGGCAAGTTTGCTCCTGGGTGTTCCCCCTATGCAAGTGTATCGCTATCCTCAACCCAAGCTGGCCCATCTACTACTGTTCCGGGTTCTCTGAAGCGGCTTGCCTCTACCTACACTGGCAGCTCTGACACCCAGGCAGGGTCCTCCACTCGCTTCACCCTGCACGGAAGCGCTGCTTATGTTGGATCACATCAGCCGCAAGATGCTGCTAGTCAGTTTGTCCCTGGGTCTTCATTCCCATATGCAAGTGTGTGTGGCACTTTCTGTTTGTGTTTTAGTGACTTATGCATTGACTAAGGGTGTATTAACATTACACTATTTTTGTGAAAAATGGAAAGCTGTTTGTTTATATGCCAATGGGTTTTTGGGGCCGCGAAAGCAAACTCTTGGAAAATTGACTTGCGTTCAAGATTGACGACTATTTATCTGGGAAATTGAGTATTTGTGGGAAAGTTGA